ACACATTACCTCTGACACTTCGCTGGAGGCATAAACACCACAGCAGACGACACACAGTATCTCTGACATTGACGCTGATAACTAATGTTTATTTGCTAGAGAAGAAAGAGTTTCTGTGGTTCTGTTCATTTTCTCATCACTTCTCTCTTTCATGGTCATTCTATGGTGTAAGGAAGGCTATCATAACTGTACTGCACAAATATTCTCCGTCACTGGATAAAATATCATTTCTAAGCATTAAATATAAAACCATGTGAAAGCAGGCTCAGTATATGACTTTCTGACTCCAAACATAAATGGAGGTCTTTCAGTTCAGAGTGAGTCACCACACTGCTGCTCTGCCATAGCAACAGCACTACAGCTGGCATGCAGTGAACCACAGAAACACCATCTCCTACTCTCTCCCTGTCTCTCACATGTACACACACACAGAGGCGGGCACTCATGCAGTCACACACAGATGTAGTCATGATGGCCTCATTATGAGTGGGCCAGGCGGAGAGCCCCGAGGCTCAGCCATCCACAGCTACGCTCATTACAGCACCGAGATAAGAGAGTGAGTACGAGCAACATCCTCATTACAGCTGTAGGTCAGCAGTTCTGCTGCAGCTCCACGTCCAGCTCAGTGGACAGACAGCTGCACACAGCTTATTAAAGCCTAGCCTAAAATGAGTAAGACTCAAAACACAGCCTCCGTCCCTTTTTTTAGCCTCATGTGGCTTGAGTCAGTCGTCAGGACTGTGTGTGTGTGTGTGAGCATCACTCAGGAGTTGTTTAGCAGAGTGGAGGTCCAAGCCTCAAGGAAGGCTTTCAAGATAAATATAGTGATGCACTTTGACTCAAAGCTATCTACTGATGCACGCTATTGACTTTACTGTGTGTGTGTGCGAGAGAGTGTGTGAGAGAGAGAGAGAGAGAGAGAGAGAGCTTTCATGTGTGATGTTTACACTAAGAAGTGTCCCTACAGTACACAGTGTATGATAACAGCACTTCAGTTCTGATGTGGTGCAACTCAACCCCACTGACCCTGTCTCTTTCTCTCTCTCACACACACACACACACACACACAGGATTACTGCACTGCTCTCTTACACAATGCAGTGAGTACACGACAGATCAAGTGCACAGCTCTGATCTGTTCCTGCATCCTGTCTCTTGCCTCTGTATTTCACTCACTGCTGCAACTTTCAGGTTTCCACTGATTTCAGCTCAGTTCTACCAGTGAGTTCACCTGTGTGTGGTGCTGCAAATACATGAAACCAAATGCCATCAGCCGGTCAGTGATGGGAAATTTAAATGATTCTGTATTATTAAGATGATCAAATTACAGCCAATTATTGGTCCATCCTAAAACTGGTTCTAAATGATATTCTATATAATTCTTGAGATTCTATGAGAGCCAGTGAAAAATGTATGTGAAGTGATTTGATGAACTTAAATAAATAAACATTTGAAGAGTTAAAACTGTTGTCTGTTGTTGTTAACAACAGTGATGTCAGTGAGATCTGTTTAGGTCAGAGCTATGAATATGAAATCATCCATCTTTGCTCTCTACATCTCAGCCTCTCTTACCCTGCTGTGTGCATTATGAACTTCTTCTTAAAATAAACAATGTGAAATGATCGGTTATCTGATCCATATGGGCCATGAGAAGCAGAATCCATACTGTGCATGCCAAGGTAAGAGTGGGGCTGATACCTGGCTGAGAGAGAGAGAGAGAGAGAGAGGGCTGTTTGAATTATTAACAGCTCTAACAGATGAGATGCAGTGTGTGTCCTGAGGCTGGAGGCTAGTGCAGCTCTGTGCAGCAACAGACCATTATCACCCCACTGTCTCATACACGGCTGTGAGAGCGAGTGTGTGTGTGTGTGTGTGCTTATTTGGTCTCGTCTGTGGTGGACATTGTGCTTGAATGCACGCAGCATCCGGTCACATTCAGGATAAACAATCTCACTGAGCATCCTTCTCTCTAATGTCTCTGTATGCAAACACATCTGGCAGTTAGTTATCAGCCTTCTCCCAGCTGTTCCCTCCTGCTCTGTCTTCCTTGCTGAAGTCCCAGTTGTGCATTTACTGTGTACGAACATCTGTGCAAACTGTGATGACTGTCAGTGAATAAATGCATCAGTATCTCAGCTCCGATCAGTGCCTCCAAGACAGTAAGTAATGAGGGCTCATCTGGATTATTGCATATAGCAACACTAACATGTTATACTGCAACAGTAACATACACACCAATAGGTGTAATGACCATATCCTCCATTCTCACATTGTGCGTTTGTAACATCTGATGACAGCATGCAGACAAGCCTCAGCTATTATAAGTCTATAACAAAGAAACTAAAATATCTATCTATTCAACTAGTAAAAAAACCTTTCCTGCAGACCCATTTATACTGGAAATGATGAGTCAAGACTAGTACAGGTTGCAAATGATGAATGTTATGTTAAACTACAGCTGTATCACCTGGTAGGGGCAGGGGATGTGGTAGTCTCTACACTTCTCCTGGACCCAGGTCGTCTCCCAGATGGCTCGGTAGCTGTTCTCATACAGGTAGCAGCCAAGAACGGCCAGCAGGGGGACCAGGTAGAGCACGGAGAACACGGCGATACGAATCATGAACTTCACCAGTTTCTCCTGGTTCTCCTTCTCCAGTGGGATCTCCATGCGGACTCGGTTTAGTGCTGCGATGCCTGCCAGCAGCAGTGCCACGCCAACCTAGGATGATATGAGAGTGATGAGGTTTACTGTCATCTTGTGGAAGACAGTGGGGTAAAAACTTGAATCTGTTAGCACGACTGTTATTCTTTCACTTGATCATTTCCTTAATCACAAAGCAAGCTTTCATCCTTTAGGAACAACTCAGAACAACTGCTTCCCTGACAGATAAATGATCTCTTGTTCTGTAATACTCTTCCTCACCACTACGTCCAGTCCCAGTGGGGCCAGCAGGAACCAACGCAGAGCCGTCAAGTTGTACATCCCGACAAAGCAAACCCCGCTGATGCTGTCTCCTTCGATCTTGTTCATGGCGAGCAGGCTAACTGTGAGGACACCGGGGATGCCCCAGGCACAGGCGTGAAAGAGTAGAGCCTTCTTCTCTATTGCCTCACTGCCCCACTTGGGAACAGCAGCCAGGAACCAGGTGATGGTCAGAATGACCCACCAGACGCTGCCAGCCATGGTGAAGAAATACAGCACCATGAAGAGAAGGGTGCAGGCCTGAGACAGAGAGAGAATGTACAGGTGGAGGATCAATACAGACGTCTAGGCAGCAGAACAGCAGCAGAACATACAGTCAAGGACATTCTTACCTTGTTATGGGAGCCTTGGGTCACTGTTGAAGCCCTGAACCTCCCAGGACTCGCTGCATTACAGGAAACTTTGTCCTCCAACAGAAACCCCAGGAAGAACACCAGGGACACCATCATGTAGCACACAGCATAGAATATAATTGGACGCTCTGGGTAGCGGAAGCGGGATACATCGATGAGGAAAGTCAGGAAGGTGAAGAGAGTGGCGGACAGGCAGACGATGGACACCACCCCGATGAAGTAGCGGGCAAACGCCAGCTCTTCACGTGTGAAATACATGTTGGGACACGGGGGAGAGCAGTCGCGGACCCCCATGAAGGAGTAGCCGAACTCGGGGTCGATTTTGAGCTCTCTTGGACACCAGAAGCCGTAGTCCCGCTGGACGGAGACGGGGGATTCGGTTGTTTCCAAGCTGGACAGGAGGTCTACAGGACGGGGGTAGGACTCGTCACAGTCTGGGAACCTGGGAGGAGAGGAGGTTATCTCGGGGAGTTCAGATGTTAATGCCTTTAACAGCAGATTACATATACAGCACTGCCAACCACTTTCTAAACTCTTTCACAGCTTTGATAGATACATTTTCTACCTTCCAGCTAACTGGTAATTACAGCGTATGTCAGTACAGTAGAGTAGGGGAAGAAATTCAACTTGCTCATTTATTCCAACGAGCATTTTACTGTCTATATTTTCATTATCGCTGCTGTCACAACGCTGAATACATCCCTTTAAAATATTCTTGGGGTATTTTTGTCTTTAATGAATAGACAAAGAGTAGAAATCTGACAGTAAATGTTGGGGATGATTTGCAGCTGTTTCCAGTCAGTCAGTGTCTTAGACACCAGGGTGCTTTGCTGCATGTCATCCCCTCTGTCTCGCTCCCCTTTCCTGTCACGATCCATTACAGGCAATAAAAGACCAACATAAAAAACATTTAAAAACATGGAAGCTCTCATTCCCACTGCATTAGGTGGATTATGTTCATGCTATATTTAAAACTTATCTAAAAATATTTTGTAAATGTGAGGCTCTCTTTGTTTTTCAGATGTGTATGTAGGGGAGAGAGAGAGGATCACATGCAGCAAAGGGCCACGGGCTCTAATTGATCCCGGGCCGCTGCATTAAGGACTCTACTACGGTGCCAAAATGTGGGGATCTTTTTTGAGAAACCTGAGACTGTTTATGTACAACTGCTCCTTCTTATTATTGATATGACTGATTATTATTAGTTCATTGTTTTTTCTTGTTATCCATTTCTTTATTTCTTGATTATTTTTTACTTTCTTTTGTCTGCTGTGTATGTTATATGTCAGCCAGGTGCCTGAGGATGAGGACACAGCAAAGAAGTAACTCTTACTCTTACTGATTAAAAACAAAAATATAACCTAAAAAGACAAAAAAAACATCCACCTTTACGGTTTGTCTTCAGGGTTTCATGTGTGACCACCTCTGAATGCAGTGTTGTTGTTGGTACTGCAGCACTGTGTTGCTGCTGATGTTTCTAATTTGATGTGTGGTTTACTGATTCAATTATCTGACTGCAAAACTAATTTACTGAAGTCTGAAATAAATGTAATTGTTTAGCAGCCAGTTCTCAAAATCAGACATTGCAGCTTCTCAGAAACTTGGTAGTCTAAGCTTGTAAGCCTCTCTAATTCTGTGGTCATAAATGACTTTTTATCTGCTCCTCTCACAAAAGGAAAATCTGCTTAAATGACTGATGCAGCAGGACTGTTACCGCTGAAACAAATCCCAGGGAAAAAGAATTACTGCTGTTTTGCCAACCTGTTGCAGTCCATCTCCTGTGGCCAGCTGACACCAAACATGTCCATCAGTTTGTAGCAGTCGCTCTTGGCCTGCAGACAGAGGCGGCGACAGGGCAGAGTCATCCTCCCGTACTCTGTACACACCGGAGCGTAGAGCGCGCACAGGAACATCCTGAGCTGCGGAGAGCACTGTAGGTTCACCATAGGATGGAACGGCTGCAGGTACAAACAGAGAGAGAGAGAGACAATAGTTATTTTCAATAAATAATGAACTGGTTTGTTTGAAACCGTTTGGGAAGCCGGAAGTGTTGCTCCTTGTTCACAGAGAGGGCCGAAGAGGGGCACAAAGAGATCAGTGGAGCATGTCTCTGACGGTTTCTGGAGATGAATTCATAAAAACAACTCTGGCCTCTTTCCTAATAATCCCCTCCACCCCGGTGATTTTCAGCTCCCCCCTTCCTCTGTCTCCCCTCTTCCTCCCCTCCAATCTCCAGATAGGAGGAGCACAACAACCCCCACCATATATA